CTCTGTCTGGGCAGATTGAAACTGGAGATGCCAGTCCAAATCCATTTCAATATGGAAATACAGGTGTATATCCGTATGTGTGTGTATAGACATACATACTTTCTGCACTCTGCAAACAGTGAGCACCCCCAGTGCCCAGATCTTGGGTTATTATTATTTTTGGGGGAGGGGGATGGAGTTTTGCTCTTGTCGCTCAGGCTGGAGTACAATGGTGTGATCTCGGGTCACTGCAACCTCTGCCTCCCAGGTTCAAGTGATTCTTGTGCCTCAGCCTCCTGAGTAGATGGGATTATAGATGTGTGCCACCAGGCCTGGCTAATTTTTGTATTTTTAGTAGAGAGAGGGTTTTTCACCATGTTGGCCAGGCTGCTCTTGAACTCCCAACCTCAGGTGATCCACCGGCCTCAGCCTCCCAAAGTGCTGGGATTACAGGCATGAGCCACCACGCCCAGCCTTCTCTACCATTTTGTGACACAGAATGAAAGTCCTCACCAGTGCCATGACCTTGAACTTCTCAGTCTGCAGAACCGTGAGCTAAGTAAACCTCTTTTATTTTCTTATATATTATACAGTCTCAACTAATCTTTTATAGCAAGACAAAATGGATGGAGACACACACACATCCATGAGAGAGAAGGGTGAGCCTGACCTCATAGTGGAAACCTCAAATCCTCTCCCCAGAAATGATGAAATAATTGCTTATTCATTAATCAATGCAAAGTGCTGACTAAAACTTTCCAGTGGGGGACGGTGGCAGACACCATCGTACCCAAGTGACGAGGGTCGCCATCACCACGATGGCCAGAGTGACCCTGTGGCCTCCGGTAGGATGCTAAGAGAGGAAAGTCTCACCACTCAGAGGGATCCTCCTGGAAATGCAGACCCCACAGCAAACAGATAAGGCTAGAGCGAGGAGGGCCGTCCCACAAAGACCCACAAAGGATGTCATCGAGACAGTGGGAAAATTGGCAGGGGCTCTGCAGGGTTGAAGGGTCACTGGTGACGTCCTGATTTTTCAAGGTTCACTGCAATTGCTTGGGAGAGAGTTTGTTTATTTCCAAAATACTCTCTGAGCGGCTTAGGGGAGCAAGCCTGAAGTCCGAAACTTATTCTCAAGTGCCACCGAAGCGGGAGCCAGAGAAGGAATAGCAGGGCCATGTGCCCGGCTGGGGGATTGTGTGGCAGAAGTATCCAGGTCTCTCTGCACTGTTTGCCACTCTCTGTAAATTGGGACCTATTTCAAAATAAAAAGCTAGATGAATGCATACACACAAAGCAATACCAAGCATTTCCCACGAGCGCCTGCACAGGCAGGTAAGGAGTCAGGAAAGGTCTGGACACAGCCTGTGAAGGACCTCCAGGCCCACGGGCGCCCTGTGCAGCTGCTGCACCCTGGCGGCCGCGGGCGGCAAAGCGAGGCCCGCCCGAGCCGCTCAAGGCCCGCCGCCTGGCGCCCTCTAGGGCCGTTCTTGGGAACAGGCGGACCTTTCAGGGAAGGCCACCTGTCCGGGCAGGATTCCCACCGCGGGAGTCCCAGGGGCAAGCTACATGAAGATCGACTCTGCTTTTGAGCGCGGCTCTGCGCCAGGCTCATCTCAGGCGTCGGACGTGTATCATCTGAATTAATGCCCCACCAGGTGTGTGGGGCAGTCGCCATTCCCAAATTACGGGTGAAGAAAGGAGGCGCCAAGTGCTGGAATCGCCTGTCCATGGTGAGCTGTCCCTCCGGACAGGCGATCACTCGGTGTGCGCTCATTCCCACGTTCACTGCCCAAGAGCAGGGCTAGGGCTGGGACTGCTCACGCCTGGGGTCCCAGCACCTTGGGAGGCCAAGGCAGGTGGATTGCTTGAGGCCAGAAGCTCAACACCAGTCTGGGCAACATAGTGAGATCCTATCCCTACAAAAAATGTAAAAATTAGCTGGGCGGCTGGGCATGGTGGCGACCCAGGAGGCTGAGGTGGGAGGATCGCCTGAGCCCAGGAGGCGGAGGCTGCAGTGAGCTGAGACTGCACCACTGCATTCAACTTCAGCCTGGGTGACAGAGCAACACCCTGTCTCAAAGAAAAAAAAAAAAAAGCTGGGTGTGGTGGTTCACGCCTGTAATCCCAGCATTTTGGGAGGCTGAGGCAGAAGTTTAAGCTTGAGTCCAGAAGTTTAAGACCAGCCTGGGCAATGTGGTGAAACCCTGTCTCTAAAAAAAAAAAAAAAAAAAAAAGCTGGGTGTGGTGGTGCATGCCTGTGGTCCCAGCTCTTCAGGGGCCTGAGGTGGGAGGATCACCTGAGCCCAGGAGGTGGAGGCTGCCGTGGGCTGAGATCGTGTCACGGCACTTCAGCCTGGGTCACAGAGCAAGACTCTGTCTCAAAAGAAAAAAAAAGAGCCCTCAATATGCGATGCCCCCTTATGTTGTCCCCTCAAGCCATGTCCCTCCCACAAGGCCAGGAGGCTGTGGGGCCACGAGTATGTGGCCTCCCCAGGCTGTGCTCCCCCAGACCAACTCCAGGCAGGAGGATTCCAGAATTCCCAGCAAAACGCTCCCTGCCTCCCTGGCTAGGCAGCCTCTCCCTGGGCTGTCGCTGCATGCCAGGAGGAGTGGGGATGGTCAGAGGCGGGTGGGCGTGGACGGGTCTCCTGGGACACAGTGTCTTCCGGAGAGCCTGCGGTGCTGCTTCTGAACCGCTCCTGCCCCTGGCGTGCAGGTGTCTTCCTCGCAGTAGGACCTGGGAGAGCTATTCTATAGGTCAGGAGTCTGGATGATCCTCTCTCCCTGTCACCGTTTCGACAGGGCAGAGGACAGGGCAGTGAGCAGATGCCAGCGCTGCCCCTCCCAGGCCCTGTCTGAAGAGTGTCTGAAGGGGCAACTGTGGCCTGAGCCTGGAGGGCAGGGCCCAGTGCCCAGGGTAGGGGTGGCCCTCAGGGCTTCCTTCCTCATTCCTGCCTCTGTGCATGGGTCGCAGTGGGCTTCACCGTGGCCTCCTCACTACCTGGGGTGCCCTGGGGAGCACCTTGTGGAGGGGTGCCTGATCGAGGGAGAGCGGGGCAGGGAAGAGGCGGATAGTGAGAGTGAGTGAGCGCAGACTCCGCACGGGGCGGCTCCCAGCACTGGTGACCTCAGACGCTCCCACCAGCAGCACAAGCCAGATGACAGGGCCAGGGCCTGTGGTCAGTGAGCAGTGGCTGATGACAAAGCCATGCTGTGACCCTTGCTGACTGCCAGAGCAGCTAGCTGCAGGGCAGGGAGGAGCCAGGTAGGCCTGTGACCTCCACCTCCCCAGCTGCTGCCCTCCACCCACCGCCCCTGAGGGTCTCAGCATCAAGGGCCAGCTGGGCGTCCCTTCCTGGGTGCCTGGTCCCATCTGGGCCTCACCTTGGGCAAGGTCCCCGCTGCCCCTCCCATCAGGTGAGCCCCACCCCTCGGGTTTGACTCTGAGTGGTTTGTCTTTGTGTGGAGCTTCTCTACCTGATGGTGACTGTCCTGGGTCCTGCAGGCCTGGAGTCCATTTTTAAATTTCGCCACAGACGTTGCTCCCAAGCACCCTCTGGCCTCCCCACGTGCAGTGGTGCAGTCCTAGTTCACTGCAGCTTCCACCTCCCAGGCTCAAACAATCCTCCCGCCTCAGCTTCCTGAGCAGCTGAGACTGCAGGTGCCACCTCGCCTGGCTATGCCTGGTGACCTTCCTGCCACTGTGACACCAGCCAGTCTGGGCAGTCTTTCACCTGAGCCAGGTACTCTGGCTGCCTCGGCCCAGCCCTGCTGTCCCTACCGGTGGGTAAGATGGCGCCCAGTCTGCAGGCTGGGATCTGGCATGGGAATGAGGTTGTTATTTGTGGCAACAAAAGATGAAAAAGTGGACTCTGGCCTTCAGAGCTGTGAGAGAACCGTTTTGTTGTTGCTGACGTTGTTTGAGACGGAATTTGCTCTTGTTGCCCAGGCTGGAGTGCAATGGCTCGATCTTGGCTCACTTGCAACCTCCACCCCCCGAGTTCGAGCAATTCTCCTGCCTCAGCCTCCAGAGTAGCTGAGACTACAGGTGCACGACACCAGGCCCAGCTAATTTTTTTGTATTTTTAGTAGAGATGGGGTTTCACCATGATGGCCAGGCTGGTCTTGAACTCCTGACCTCAGGTGATCCACCCACCTCGGCCTCCCAAAATGCTGAGATTACAGGCGTGAGCCACCGCGCCCTGCCCGTTTTACTGTTTTGAGCCACCAAGTTGTGGTGACTGGTTGTAGCCACAGGACGCTAAGCCCCTGACATCCTTAGAATCCCTCCCGCCCTAGCCCTGAGTATTGCAGACGGTCCAAAACCTCAGCCCCAACTTTTCAAGTTCCTGGTCACAGCTGTTCTTACAAGAGTCGAGGGGCACACTCCTCTCACAGCAGGAGAAATGTTCACTCAAAGGTTAAATTGAATTTTTTTCTTTTTTCTTTATTTATCTATTTAATTTTTTTTTTTGAGACAGAGTCTTGCTCTGTCGCCAGGCTGGAGTGCAGCGGTGCGATCTCGGCTCACTGCAACCTCTGCCTCCCGGGTTCAAGTGATTCTTCCACCTCAGCCTCCCGAGTAGCTGGGACTACAAGTGCACACCACCACGCCCAGCTAATTTTTGTATTTTTAGTAGAGACAGGGTTTCACCATGTTGGCCAGGCTGGTTTCCATCTCTTGACCTTGTGATCACCTCAGCCTCCCAAAGTGCTGGGATTACAGGCGTGAGCCACCGCGCCCAGCTATTTTTTTTTTAATACCAAAAAAAGAGACAAGGTTTTTTCCATGTTGTATTTTTCTGATGACTCTCTCAAGAAAGACGGCGATTTTGGCTGGGTGTGTGGTGGTGCACCCCTATAGTCCCGGCTATTCAGGAGGCCGAGGTGGGAGGATCGCTTGAGTCCAGGAGTTTGAGGCTGCAGTGGGCTGTGATGGTGCCGCTGTACTCCAGCCCAGGCAACAGAGCAATGGAGCAAGGCCCTGTCTCTAACAAAATAAATAGTATTTTTTTAAAAAAGAGGAACAACTGCACAGCTGCCTTACAAAATGAAAGCGCAGCTCAGCCCCACCGTGCTGTGTGGCCACGCTGGAAGCCCCTGCACTGTGCTGGGCGCTGGGCTCCCTGTCCAGGTGCGGTGCTGGCCGGCTCAGTGCGGTGAGTGCAGGGAGGAAGACGGACCCCGATGGTGGCCCCGCGAGGTCGGTGTCATTGGCCCCATTTTACAGATGGGGAAACCAGGTTATCACTGTGACCTGGCCTAGGCAGGGCCTGTCGGGGCAGAGCCAGGTCCGACTTGGCCCCAAGGGTGCAGGGAGCTGGCTTTCTCTGTCAGACAGGCAGACCACCTGCTGCGCTCCCGCCTCAGTGAGGGGCTGAGGGCGCGGATCCCACCTCGTGCAGACACCTCACCAGCTTCTCCCCGAGGATGCAGCTGGGGACTCTGGCACCCCTTGGCTCTGCCGTGGCTGTGTCATGCCTGTCCTGCCACCTGGTGTTCTGGACGTGGATATTTGGGGCCCCCCATGGAGGACGCCTGGGCTGCCCTCTGGGAACCGGAGCAGCTGGCCACCCTGCCCCACAGCTCCTGAGAGACCTTCCGGCTCAGCACAGACCCAACCCCAGACAAGGGCTTCTGCCCCCTTGGAGGTGGCGGGCTGCCCTATGCCCTACTGGGCACGGCCATGGTGCTGGGTGACCCTGGCATGCTGCCCACTGGCGTTCTGAGGCAGGAGGTTGGAGGGCCCATGTGTGCCACCGCATCCGGGTGACACTTGCAGAAATGCCTAGAAAAGAAAGTCATCAGCACTGATGCGAACAGGGCAGCCACCGGGTACCTCTGCCAGCAGCCCCGCTGCCTGCCCACAGCTGAGGGAGCTAGCTAGGCAGGCTGCTGATGAAGAGGGCCCACTGCCTGCCACACGCTCTCTGGGCTCCCGGCAGCCTGGAGGCATGGCTGCGCCCTTGGCATGCAGCCACCTTCCATGTGGGAAAGCCCAGGGCCAGGGGTCACCGAGGGAGTAGCTTCAGAAACGAGAAGTTGGGAGTTTGTCTTCCAGAGGGGACACAGGCACTGTGGCTGGGGGGCTCAGTGGACCGGAGCCACATTGCTGGCTCCAGGACCCCCAGCCTGCCAGCCTCCGCACCACACGGTGGGCTCAGCAGGACTCCTCCATCAGCCTCTTGGGGGAGCATGGTGACCCCGGTAGGTGCACAGGCCCAGAGAAGGTGTGGTCTGCCAGTGTCACAGGCAACTGCTGCTCCTCGGTGTCCCTGGTGTGGGCCAGCCTGGTGACGTCTGTCCTCATGGACCACTGTTTCCACCCCTTGTGGATTCTGGACACTTCTTGGCGGGAATGTTCTGTGGCCAGCACGTAGATGATGGGGTCAGCCACGCTGTTCACGGTGGACAGGCACAGAAACACCACGGACGCTGTGTACAGCCTCTCTTCCAAGGCACACATGGAGTTCTTGTCTCCTCTGTAGTAGGAAAAGGCAGCAGCTTTGACGAGGAGAACCAGGTGGTACGGGGCGAAGCAGACCAGGAAGATGACCACCACTGCGATGGCCGAGTGCTTCACCTTGGCCTTCTGGGCAGTGCTCAGACCCACGCTCAGCTTGATGCTCCTGAAGATCCGGTGATTGGTGAAGGCGATGATGGACAGCGGGATGGCGAAGCCTGCGGTGAACCTGGCGTAGTAGTACCCGGCGATCCTGCTGTCTATCTGCAGCATGTCGAAGCAGGTGTCGTTGTCTTCCGCCTCAAACACTGGGTAGTGAACGATCCCCACAAGGATAAAGATGCACGCGGAGATGAGGATGGCAGTCCTCTGGCGGCGGTGGCCCCGACTCTCCAGCGCGTACACCACGGCCACGAAGCGGTCGCAGGAGATGCAGCACAGGAAGAGGATGCTGACGTAGATGTTACAGAAGAAGACATAGGCGGTCGCCTTGCAGGCCAGCAGGCCCAGGGTCCAGCGGTGCTCGTTGTGGATGTAGATGACCCAGAGCGGCAGCGTGCCGGCGTACAGCAGCTCGCAGAGTGCCAGGCACAGCAGGTAGACAGCCAGCACGTTGCCCTGCAGCACCTGCAGCAGCGCTAGCCACGCGGTCAGGCAGTTGGCCGGCAGCCCCAGCACGCACACGGCGCTGTACACCACGATGAGGACCACCCTGCTCTCCTCGAACGACACGTTGCTGCAGGTCTTGGTGGGGAGGCCCACGGAAGCCCACGGGGTGGTCACTGGGGTGGCGTTTCCTGTGGGACAGAGACAAGCGTGAGGACGGGAGTCCCTGGAAACCACTGGGAGAGACTTTACCATGGGAGGAAAGGACAGAAGCTTCACGGTTGCTCAGATTAGACACGCGCAGGTGTTTAAAACATTTCCAGGACGGGCGCGGTGACTCACGCCTGTAATCCCAGCACTTTGGGAGGACGAGGCGAGCGGATCACGAGGTTAAGAGATCCAAACCACCCTGGCCAACATGGTGAAACCCCATCCCTACTAAAATACAAAAAAATTAGCTGGGCATGATATTGCACCTGTGGTCCCAGCTACTCGGGAGGCTGAGGCAAGAGAATCACTTGAACCTGGGAGATGGAAGCTGCAGTGAGCCAAGATTGTGCCGCTGCACTCCAGCCTGGGTGACAGAGCGACACTCAATCTCAAGGAAAAAAAAATTGAAAAATTGTGGCAAAATACACATAACAAGGAATTTACCATTGTAACCATTTCTGATTAACACATTCACCTTCTGCAGCCATCACCAACATCCTGCGACACAACTTTGTCATCTTCCCTAATGAAAGAACTTTCCCACCTGCCCCCAGAAAGCACTCACTCCGCATTTGCTGCCCGCCACCCAGCCGCCACTCCACTTTGTGTCTGTGTGCTGGGCTCCCCTGCCACCGCCCCACGTGGGTGGGCATCTGTGCATGTCCTCAGCCTGCCCCTCCACGTCTCACTGGCTCCATCGCCACGGTGTCTTCAAGCTCCCTCCTGCCTCAGCGTGTGCCAGGATTCTCCTTCCTTTCAAAGGCAGGCCGGCATTCCATTGCATTCAGTGTTCCTTTTGGGGTCTCATCAAAAGTATAAAAATAGCTATATTCCATCGTGGCCTTCCACTGTGAACCGTCCTGCAAACCTGGCATGTGCGGTGTTCTGCTTGTCATTCTTCTGCCCATGGACGCTGGGCTGCCTCTGCACCTTAGCTGAGCTGCTGGGAATTACACTGTTAGGAACACGAGGGGGTCTATTCACGTCCCTGCTTTCTGTTCTCCTGGGCCAGACCCAGAGCTGGAATTGCTGGGTCTCACAGCAATTGCTCCGTCTCATCTTCGGAGACGCCCCTCGCTGTCCTCCACGGTGGCTGGGCTGCCCCATCTTCCACCCCAGTGTGCAGGGCTCCCGTCTCCCCGCAGCCTCCCTGCCCTTGTCTGGTTTCTCTGGGTGTGAGTGGCCTGCCCCTGGCTCAGCTTCCTCCCTGGGAAGGGGAGAGGGTAGGTGTGACTGAGCTACCTCACGTCGGGTTGTCACCACTTCACTCAAGACATGGGGCTGTAGCGGGGGACAGTGGAGACAGTTCTCGGGTGGGGGTGGGAGGCCACCCTGTGTCTGCACACACTGTTCTTCACCCAGACCGCCCTTTTCCTATCAAACGAGTGCGCCAGCCTTGCTGTGTGAGTCCTGAGCTCAGAGGCAGTTTCCGCCCCCCACGCCTTGTCTCCATCAGGACAGTCGCACGCCTTGGGAGGTAGAGCGTTCCAGAATCCGAAACACAAGGGGAGACCCCGGCAAGACCGGCGTGGCCACAGGGGCCCCTCCCAGCCTTAGCCCACACAGAGCCACTGTGGTCCCTCCCCAACCCCACACACTGTCGCCCCTGTCGTCTCAGTCAGGGCCTCAGTGCCCCTCAGTCCCACGCCCCCTGCTCCAGGCCTCACGAAGCCTTGGGACCTTCACCTCTGGACACCAGTTCCTTGCTGTCTGTGGCTCTTTGCCCATCTGGTGAGCAGGTTGTCCCCCAGTCCCCCACACCCACAAGTGACCTCCTGGGAAGAGCGTCTTCCTGGTGGGTCAGAAGCAGGGGCAACAGTACCAGGGGACGCATGGATGGGGAGGGGTGGCGGTCAGCTCCTCGTGGCCCGGACCATGCAGGGCTCCCGTGGGACCTGGGGGACAGCCCTGACTCAGTTCTGTGCCACTCTCCCAGGAGCCACGAATTATGCCCTCATTTCTGTTCCTGGCTTCCTAGAACTTCGAGAAAGAATTATGAGATCAGTCCTTCATTTCTCCATGGAGCGCCTCTAGATTTATTGCTGTGCTAGTTTTTTCTTGATAATCTATTTTTATGTGTTAATTTTTGAATTATGAGACAACCTGCTTCATAGAAAGCTTCTTACAGGCTCCCTCTTACATGTTCAAAGTCGGAGAAGTCTCTCTCACCTGACATACTGTGCTGGTTCCGCTCTCAGTGTGGCTCTAAAATAAGCTTTCTAAGTCCATGTCATGCGGCTTGTCGGTCATATGAGGACGTTCACTCTGACAGTTTAAAACGACCTGGAGAAAGAGTAGGTTGACATTGCTTTAGGGAAACCAGATTAGACCACAAATTAATTCATTGACAAAACAGCTAGTATTTCCTAATTTACTAAGTTTCTCATTGATTTGTACGTGTTTTTTAAAGTTAAGGATCTGCCGTTGCATCCCACAGGATAAACAGAAGCAAGGCTCCAAGCCAACAGGCATCAGAACATCACGTCACATACCATGACTTTGTACGATTCTTTTTGTTGTTGTTGAGACGGAGTCTTGCTCTGTCGCCCAGGCTGGAGTGCAGTGGCGCAATCTCAGCTCACTGCAACCTCTGCCTCCCGGATTCAAATGATTCTCCTGCCCCAGCCTGCCGAGTAGCTGGGACTACAGGCGCCTGCCACCATACCCAGCTAATTTTTGTATTTTTTTAAAGAGGAGTTGCGCTCTGTTGCTCAGGCTGGAGTACAATGGCTCGATCTCGGCTCACTGCAAACTCCACCTCCTGGCTTCAAGCGATTCTCCTGTCTCAGCCTCCCAAGTAGCTGAGATTACAGGCACACACCACCACACCCAGCTGGTTTTTGTATTTTTAGTAGAGACGAGGTTTTCCACATTGGCCAGGCTGGTCTCGAACTTTTGGCCTCAGGTGATCCACCTTCCCAAAGTGCTGGGATTGCAGGCGTGAGCCACTATGACTGGCCAGTTTTTGTGTTTTTAATAGAGACAGGGTTTCACCATGTTGGCCAGGCTGGTCTTGAACTCCTGATCTCAAATGATCTATCCACCTCGGCCTCCCAAAGTGCTGGGATTATAGGCGTGAGCCACTGCGCCTGTCCTATGCACAATTCTTGTTTGTCAGTTATATCTTTTTTTTTTTTTTTTGACATAGAGTCTTGCTCTGTTGCCAGGCTAAAGTGCAGTGGTGCGATCTCGGCTCACTGTAACCTCCAACTCCCTGGTTCAAGTGATTCTCCTGCCTCAGCCTCCCAAGGAGCTGGGATTACAGGCATGTGTCACCATGCCCAGCTAATTTTTGTGTTTTTAGTAGAGATGGGGTTTCATCATGTTGGCCAGGATGGTCTTGATCTCTTGACCTGGTGATCTGCCCACCTCCGCCCCTGAAAGTGCTGGGATTACAGGAGTGAGCCACCGTGCCCGGCTGTCAATTATACCTTTATAAAGCTGGGAGAGAAAAGAAAGTTGATGAGCTTTCACAGCCCAAGAGGCTGTGTATGGTAACTCACACCTGTAAATCCCAGCACTCTGAGAGGCTGAGGTAGGAGGATCACTTGAGTCCAGGAGTTCAAGACCAGCCTGGGCAAATATAGTGACACCCCATACTCACAAAAATATAAACAGGCATGATGGCACACATGTAGTCCCAGCTGCTCGGGAGGCTGAGGTGGGAGGATCGCTTGAGCCCAGGAGGCGAAGGTTGCAGTGAGCTGAGATTGCACTGTTGCCGTCCAGCCTGCGTGACAAAGAGAGACTCTGTCTCAAAAAAAAAGCTCCTAAAATGTGAAAAATGCTCAACTCCACTTCTAATCAAAGAAATGCAAACACGAACATCCGAAAGGCGGTCCTTTAAAACCTTTTTGGCCTACCATGTTGGCAAAAAGAAAGAACTTTTTAATTTATAGTGTGTGAGAGAAGATGGGTGTCCTTCTACGGGACTGATGGAGTATGAATAGGCTTGCAGCAAAATTTCGCAGTATGTTTCCGAAAATCTTAAATGTGCTTTAACTTTTGACCCGGCTAAACCCCTTCTAGGAATTTTTCCTGGTGAAGTAACTACCCGAGGTGTGGTGTGCACCTGGCCTGGAAGCTGTGTCACCCACGGCATGAGGGGTTGGAGGAGGGAGGCCCGGGGGGTGGGCAGCGGACCGCTCAGGGCACCCAGGGGCCTGTCCCTCTGCTTCCTTCCCTAACCTTGAAAACAGGCACCATCCTGAGCAGCCAAAGAGGGTCTGCAGGGAGGCAAGTGCCGTAAACCCATCCTCAGACGGTGTTTATTCCTCGCCCAGAGCCCTGCAAAGCCTAAGGGTCTCGCCCTGCTGTTTCTGGACCCCGTGCAAGGATGGAGGCTGAGCCCAGCAGCTGCCTTACTGGCTCCAATCCTGCCTGCCTGGTGCCAGGCCCAACCCCCACCCCACACTGCCCGGTGCTGCCCTCTGTCAGCCGAGACTCTCACAGGAAGCCAGTAAGTGCAGTCAGTCCCCTCCCAGGACAGGCGGTTTGGCCAGAGGGGCCCTGGGCCTCCTGATTCTGCCCCTACCCTGCCAGTGGCTGAAGTATCTACTTCTCCCTGCGTCTCAGGCCAGCCCCCTGAGTGGACATGGCTGACGGCCCCCTGGGTGGAGGTGGCAGGGTGTCCCCTGGGTGGTGGTGGTGGGATGGCGCTAAGGGTCTTCAGACCCTCCCTCGGGGGCCTGTGTGCCTCGCGCTGCCCTCCCAGCTGCTGCTTCGCCAAGATTTGTGTGGCTGTGTCGTCTGGCTGCTGCGCCCGGCTCCAAGGCCCAGCAAGAGATGCAGGGCTCTCTGGTCATGCCCAAAACAGAGGGGGTCAGTAGGTGAGGAAGCAGTGAGCCGGAACCAGGAGGGCCAAGGAAGGCCGACCCCAGCAGGGGAGGGGCAGAGTGGACTGGGGGCACGCCAGAGCCTCCTGGGACCAGTCCAGCTCCCTCTGAGCCCCAGGGGTGTGGGGGGGCTTCCCTCCTCAGCAGCCGAGCCGCGCAGTGGCCCTGGAGGCCTGCATGCTCCTGCTCCCTGGTGTCTATGCCGCTTCTGCAGCCGGCCCTTCCCTGCCTTTCAAATTCTAAATAACACAAGGCAGGGCCTCTCCCTGAAAATGAGCAGGAGTGAGCCCATGGAGCCGCTACCTGAGGCCCCTGGGCCCCATCAGAATGGCTGAGCCGCCCAGGGAGGGGCTCCCGGGGAGTCTGCTGCCCTCACTTTAACTGGACCAAGCGTTCTGGAAACCCCCCCAAACCTGGGAGGACACGCTCTTGCTGGTACAGGGCTGGGCCACCCAGTCCTCCCCCATGCCAGCCAACAACCCTGTGCACAGTGCTGCAAGCACTTCTGCAAAACCGAAGGAAGTGGCAGCTGAGCAGAAAACGCACACTCCCCTCCCGGCCCAGTGACCGACCGACCGGCAATGTCTCAGGACGAGGCCCCTCTGGGCTCCGGGCCATATGCTGAGAGCAGAGACTGGCTCGGGGTGGGAGCCGGAGCCACCTGCCTATCAAGCCCGTCCCATGTGGCCCACACAGCCCGGGCTGCCGGTGTCCACATCTTGGCACATGCCTAACCTTTGGGCATGACAGCCTGGAGAGGATGCCTGGAAAGAGTCAGTGGGCCCAGCAGGAGAACAAGCCAGGGCGGGGCAGCCCTGGCACCGGCCTCCCACCAGGACGTGGGCCCAGCAGCAAGGCCCTGCACCAGGTCCCGCTCCTCACCACCACCGGGACATCCCAGCTCCCCTGCACCGGGTCCCGCTCCTCACCACCGCCGGGACATCCCAGCTCCCCTGCACCAGGTCCCGCTCCTCACCACACACGCCAGCCAGGCTTGGGCGCCAGGGGAGCCCTGCACCAGCCTTTGCTCCTCAGACCACCTCTAGGCTTTTTCACCAGCCTCCTCAAGGACCTTCCTGGACCGGGGTCCCGGGTCCTGCCAGCACCTGCTCACCACTCTTGTGCCGCACCCGCCACTCCTGCTGCCTCTCGGAGCCTCTGCCTCTTTTCGAGGTGAGTGAGCCCAGGATGGGGGCTCAGGGTCCTCTTGCCAGCCAACCCAGCGGCCCCACCTGCCAGCTGCTGTGTCGCGGCCTATCCCAGTCAGTGGCCAGGGCTGTTTCCGCCACAGAAAGGGGCACAGGGACAGCAGGTCGCCTGCGCTTCAGGCACTGCTCTTCCTTGGGAAGGGAAGTGGGGCCCGGGGCCTCTCTCGGCTTCCCTGGGGCTGGGTCTTCAGGTGGAAGGACAAGGCCAGGCAGAGGCTTCCTGTGTTTTCCCACATCAGGAAGCAGGTGACACCTCCTGGCGTGGGAGGAGCCCTCCAGCTGTGCATGGGGACCACTCCTTCTTCTCATTGCCCCACGTGTCGGGCCTACTGGTGGGGCTCCCCTCAGCTGCAGGGCGGGTGGCTGGGAGGGTAAGCCCTGTGCAAATGGCCCCCCACGCAGCCTCCGTCTCCTCAATCAGCAGCAAGGTGCCCCAGGCCTCCAGAGCTCAGGGGACAGCCCACCATGCCCAGAGCACCAGCAATGCCAGCCTGGCCTGGTGGACTCGGGGGCTCTGTCCTTGGTCTGCTGTGAGGGACTATGACAGGCTGAGGCACCCCCCATCACTGTCCAGCTCCAGCTGGATTCCGGGCAGCGTGGCCAGACATGATGGCCATGGCGAGGTCCCTCTGATGACTCCAGCCACAAGACCACAGTGTGGGTGGGCCCAGGTCAGCCTGACAACCCCGTCCACCCACCCCTGAGCCCCATCTGCATCTCCCGCCTCTGCTGGCCCTGGCCCTGCCTCCACCTCCCCTCAGCACACGACCACAGCCCCATCTCCCAGCCTCCATGCTGGGCAACTGTGTCCTGGTCCAGCTTCGTCTTCAAGCCACACCTTGGCAGCCCCCGAGGCCAGCCCTCTGCTGCTCTCTCCCCCGTGTCCAGCCTGCCTTACCTCACTCTCAGCACGCCAGCTCACGAGGCCGCTATGCACGCATTCCTGTGTTCCTCCGTGAACCTGTGTTCGTTCCTTCTTTCTTTGTTTCTTCTTTTCTTTCTTTTTTGAGATGGAGTCTCACTCTGTCGCCCAGGCTGGAGTGCTGTGGTGCGATCTCAGCTCACTGCAGCCTCTACCTCCCAGGTTCAAGCGATTCTCCTTCCTCAGTCTCCTGAGTAGCTGGGACTTGACAGGCACACCACCATGCCAGGCTAATTATTTTTTTCTGTATTTTTAGTAGAAACAGGGTTTGCCACGTTGCCCAGGCTGGTCTCAAACACCTGGGCTCCAATGATCCTCCTGCCTCAGCCTCCCAAATTGTTTTTATTCCCAGAGACGAGGTTTCGCTATGTTGCCCAGGCTGGTCTCAAACTCCTGGGCTCAAGCGATCTGCCCACTTCAGCCTCCCAAAGTGCTGGGATTACAGGTGTGAGCCACCACTTTGTAACTTTTTGTTCTGGAACTTTTCAGAGAGGCACAAAAGGACAGAGAAAGAGCCTGGCCCCCGCCGTGTGCAGGGAGCAGTTCCTCATTCCACCCGCTGGCTGCAAATGGCTCCTAAGGCTGCTGAGGTCTGTCTTGTGGGTTTGCCTGTAATTTCTAAGCTGTTTTTTGGTTGCTGGGCATTCCTAGACATTTTCATCTTTCACTCCCACCTGCTTTGGCGCCAGGCAAACCTGTGACCTCGTTTCTGCGTCACATTTGAGACAAACCCCAGGGAGGGAGCTGTTGAGTCACCAGCTCCAACACCCGGCTCCTCCAGTTTGATAGATTTTTTTGGTTTTCTTTGAGATGGAGTCTTGCTCTTGTCGCCCAGGCTGGAGTGCAATGGCTCAATCTCACTGCAACCTCCACCTCCTGGTTTCAAGCAATTCTTTTGCCTCAGCCTCTGGAGTAGCTGGGACTACAGGCACGAGCCACCATGCCTGGCTCATTTTTTTATTTTTAGTAGAGATGCGTTTCACCATGTTGGCCAGACTGCTCTTGAACTGCTGACCTCAAGTGATCCACCCGCCTCGGCCTCCCAAATGCTGGGATTACAGGCATGAGCCACCGTGCCTGGCCCCAATTTGATAGATTTTTAAAATGTATCTTTCAGAGATGGCTGATGAGGTGAGCCTTTCAGGCATTCTGAGTTCTTATCTTATCCCACCTCATCTTATCCGATCCCCATGCTATCTTCTTCCAGGACTCTCTGCCCTCCCACCTCTCAGGCCAATCTCCTGAAACGTCATTTTGTGCCCAGCCCGACTGGCCAGTCTTCAGCGTGTCTCAGTCCCTGCAGTGGTATAACTCCACGTCCTGCACTTGACAGAATGTACGTCCCCCCAACACACACACACACTGTGCCAAGTGCACCAGACACCGCCCTGGAGGCCTGTGACCTGCCCATCCCCAGGATCTTGCCACGCATCTAGGCTGACTGCCCCTCACCCCAGCACAGCCCCCAACACCCTGCTTCTCCCTCCATGTAACCCCAAAAGCAGCACAGGCCCCAGAGAGAAGCCCGGCCCCTCAATGCCCCCACCAGTCATGGAAGCAAATGTTTAAGGAGAGACTCCAGGGACAAAGTCCTGCCCCCGACTCACCACCGTCTGGACCAGTAGCCAAGGCAAGCCTTTTCCAGAAGCAAGTCTTGTGGAGGGTGGCGGCCACAAAGGTATAATGGAAGCCATTGTCCCGGCCCCCCAAATCCTCCGGCCCCACCACACCTGTGGTCACTGGGGGTCCTCAGTTCTCTCTTGGGAAGGACACCAGATTGAGAACCCTCAACAAAGCCTCCATCTTTACCAACAAATCACCTTTGCCTTCAGGTCCCCTGCTGCCCATCCCCTGGCTCCCAGCCCCCAGCCCCATCCCAGGGCCCCACAGGCTCCCTCCCCAGCACGCAGAGCCCAGTGACTTACCCAAGGTCCCACCTGCACGGCTGACCTCGCACCCTCCCTGCAGTCCTCGCTGAGGTTTCAGGAAGTAGCAGGGGTCCAACTATGTTCTCTCTAGAACTCCCCTAACCACAAACAGGGCTGAGCTTGGGGTTGGCCAACCGGGGCTGGGGTATCTGTCTGGTGATAATAGCATGGCCTTGTCACCTTCCTGGGGGCGGGAGTGGCAGGAAACCCCAGAGCCACCTCTCTTGGCAAAAACAGCGCTTATAGCAGGCTCCACTCACTCAGGAGCTCCCACGCAGCAGCTGGGGCCTTTGTATCCCCAGACAGGCATGGCAGGACACACATCACAGGGGTCCTGGAAAGACAAACCCAGCTCCTCTGCAGCTCAGCCTGGTGCTGCCGGCTCTCACAGAGCAGGTGGCTTCCCAGAGGCTATGTCCTCCCACCTGTCTGGGGTGCCAGGAGCGGAGAGGCCAAGTGCGCTCACTGCAGCCCCGGGACCAGGATGGTACCTGCATGTCCTGGAAGGCCAGGCACAGACCCTGCACACCAGCAACCTCCCCTCCCTGCCTCCCTCTCCCTGGGGCAGGGCCTTGCTGGAAGAGCAGCTGACATACGCTCTACATTCCATCCCAGCCCTACCCCAAAGCCGCCTTCATCCAGAACCGAGGGTGGCCTGCCAGAGCCCTGCAGGTGGCTTCTCTGTGAGGGGCCTGTGGGAACTGGAGGGTGGCAGGTGGGGTGCCTGGGACAGTCTCCCTCACTGTGGTACTCCTGGCCCTGGTAGGCCTGATGTCCTTGAAAGATGACAGCTGACTGTGGACAGCACCCACAGCCCCACTCACCCCCAGGCTGCTTCTGGGTTTCAGGTCAGAGACCCCCCTGGGTGCCCACTCCCGTCCAACCCAGGCTCTTTCAGCAGTGGGGGCAGGGCCGGGCTGGGGGAAGGAGCTGGGCCCACAAATGTCTCCAAGTGACACTGCCCAGCACTGCAGCAGGGACGTCGTCATTGAGCTAAGACCTCACAATGCTGGTTGGGTGCTCTCAGGCAGGAGAGCCCGGTGGAGGCTGAGCCCCCCGCCGCACATTCCCCCAGCCACGTGGATCACAGCTGCCCCTGCTGCAGACCGTGTGGCTGGAGGCTGCCTCTGAACAGCGATTTCGGAGGCTTTGCGTGTGTGGCAGTGGAGTCCCTCGAAAGCTGGGCTCGCTCCACCCCAGCGGAGAGGTGCAGGTCTCAGAGCAGGGACCACCTTGGCTTTCCAGAAACAGCCCAGGGGGCTGTGATCCTGCAGGGATCTGGTGCAAACACGCCGCCCACAGGTCACTGCTCCTGGGGCCACTGGCCTCCCGGGTCTTTGGGCCAGGACAGCCCCACCCTCGGAGCAACAACAGGCAAAGTGCACATCAGCCAGTGAGGGTGATGGCCAGGGACAGCTGTTGGCTCCTGTCAGTGGCCCCAGCAGCCCCCAGGACCTGCCCCTCCCTGCGCCGCACTGGATGGTCTGTCATGCTCGCCAGGGCTCCTCTGCACCCCCAGCTGAGGGGTCCAGGAGTGATGCCCGGACCCAGCTCAGGCCATTGTCACCCTCCATGCCTTCTGGCCTTTGCCAGGCTGTCCGGGGATAGCTGATTCAAATGAGGGCAGCTGGGTCCCTTCTCGGGTCCTTCACTGGGGTCTGGGAAAGGAAAGGTGGGCTCCTTGGGTGGCAGGAGCTGTGGGTATGAGCTGGGGGCTGGTGGTCATGTATGGGCTCCCCTGCCTCTGCCACATGGAGAATCAGGCTGGGGTGGGAGTGGGAAGGAGCCTGGGAGTACAAACACTGGGAGCCTAGTGGGTGCGGACCGGCCCTGCCTAGTCCCACAGGGCCTCCAGGACCAGTGGGGGCCGCCCCGAGCTGTGCGGCACCTGAGGTGTTGTCTCTGAGAAGCCCATCACAGAGCTGGTTCTCCCTGCCCTGACCCCAGCAAAGTGATTCATACCCAGAGAACCCCTCCCAGCAAGAGAGCAAGTTTCAGACAGGAAGTCACCAGAATATCCCCGGGCTGAATCAGGCTCGATAACACTCCCTGCGGCCCAGGCACGGCAGTGGTGAGGGCCCAGCTGTAGACATGGCGGCAGCTGCACCCCCACTGTGTGCACCAGAAACTTCCCTGATGTCCAGGGGTTCACCAGCCATTGTCCTGGCCCGTCTGGACCCCTCTCGCCAGAAGCCAGAGTCAGTGACTGCTTGCTAACTTGTCTAGTCAATCTGTGAAGGCCTGGGCCCAGGGAGATGAGGCCAGGAGTAAGGGAGGGGAGGGCAGAGCAAGACATGTCAGGGGCAAAGCTGGAAGAAGCTGGGAGGATGGGGCGAGGGACCCCTGGAAGAGCCCCTGGGCATGGGGCCAGGGAGGCCTGCTCCACCTCCCGGGCTCCCGGGCGGACAGAGGGTCTTGCTCTTGCCAGGCACTAAAAACCCTGAACAGCCAGCTCTGGAAGCCTGCCAAGGTCTGTCCGGAGCCCTAGGCAAGGGCGAGTGTGTGGAGAATGGATGGTGTGAGGAGCAGGCAGCCAGGCTCAGGGAGGGGTGGGGGCTGGGGCAGGAGTCCCCAAATGCACCTCCAGTAACAGGTGGGTGACAGGGAGTGAACGGGGCTTGATGTGGGGTCTCAGGCACATCTGAGCCCATTGCTCAGGGTGGTGTGCCCTTGCCAAGACAGGGCACCAAGACAGATGCAGGCTGCCCAGCACAGGATCAGCAAACATCCAGCACCGAGGTGACCCTGGAGGGAGCCACTGTACACCATGCCTGCAGCACTCTGGGAAGGTCTCCATTATGGAGGCAACTGGCCAGGCCAGGACACCACTGGGCAGAGCTGGAGTGAAGGGGAGGTGAGGGCAGAGCAGCAGGCAGGGCTGTGGGGTCTCAGGACCCCCATCCAGGCTGGCACAGAAGTGGCATTTGAGCTGCCCAAGAGTCTCAGCCATAGGGAAGCTCCTGGCCAACAGGTCAGACAGACAGGGTGGGGCCAGGTGGGCACAGGAGGTGCTAGGACCCAAAGGTCATGTTGTCACTCCCCCCGGGGGTCCTTCTTGTTTGACTCAGGGACCCAGGAAGGTGGGGGCCGCTGTGTCCACTTTCAGCTCTGGGCAGAGCTCAGCCAGCGGAGGTGCCTGTGAAGCTGTGTTTAGAAAGAAAGCAAGAAAGCCTCACTTCCTTAAGTCTTTAAGTCTCTTTCTGTCAGAGAGGTGCCTACTCTTTTTTTTCTTCTTTTTCAAGACTGAGTTTTGCTTTGTCGCCAGGCTAGAGTGAAGTGGCGTGATCTCGGCTCACTGCAACCTCCACCTCCTGGGTTCAAGCAATTCTCCTGCCTTAGCCTCCGGAGCAGCTGGGATTACAGGTGCACATCCCAGGCCCAGCTGATTTTTGTGTTTTCAGTAGAGATGTGGGTTTCACCATGTTGGCCAGGCTGGTCTCAAACTCCTGACCTCAGGTGATCCACCCACCTAAGCCTCCCAAAATACTGGGATTACAGGCATGAGCCACCATGCCCGGCTGGGCCCGCCTTCTTTAACCCACAGGACTGGCCTTTGAAGCAAGCTGGCCGTTGTCTGTAACGGTCCCCCGCTGGATTTGCTCAGCTGAATCTTGCCTCTGCCGCCTGTATCCTGTACCTGGGGCTGTGGTTTGAACCTGTGCCCCAGAAGCTCACATGTTAAAAGTGGAATCCACAATGGGAGTGTTTCCGGATGGGCTTCTAGGTCATTCTGTTAATGAGGTCAGGAGGGTGGGCCCTCATCCAATAGGATGCAAGGACTGTGGCCTCACAGAAAACTCCCAGCTTCTAAAACAGATGAGAAAGATGTCTTTCCATTATGAGCTTCCCATTCTGAAGTATTCTAACAACAGAAAGTGGGCCGAGACGCCGAGGAAGTGGATTTGAAAGCCTTGGTGAGGCTCGGGGCAGCCTGTCTGGTGCGGGTGCTCAGCGTGGGAGGTCCGAGTGGGGTCCCTTGGCACCCTGGTCAGCCTGTCTGGAGCCTGCCCACCCACTCAAATCCCACTCCACCAGCTGCTTCCTTAGGTGTGCAAAGGGGCAGTTTTCCAAGAGAGCTTCCCCTCATCCCCAGGGGACTGCGTTTGCTCCTAACAGAAGCATGTGGCCCCTGCAGAGGTGAGCCGGATTCAGATTTATTTATTTCTCTCTCGATTATTAAGCACTCACAGGTATTTATTTTATTGTAAAACCGACACAACCTACAAATTACCATCTTAGCCATTTCTAAGTGTACAGGCACCTTCACCTGCGGCGCGGCCACCCCACCGTCCATCTTCGGAAACGTTTCATGGTGCAAGACTGAGCGTGTCCTCGCCACAGGCACTTCCCACTCCTCCCTGCGCCCAGCCCGGCAGCCGCCCTTTCATCTTCAGTCTCTACAAATGTGGCTACTCAGGTTTCCTCGTGAGAAGTGCGATCACACACGCCTTGTCCTGATGTCTGGCTTGTTTTACTTAGTGTGATGTCCTCGAGGCTCATTCCTGTTTCAGCACGTGTCAGAATTTCCTTCCTTTTTAAGGCTAAATGACATCCCCACGTGTCTCTGTTTAGCCATTCATGTGTTGATGGGTGGACGTCTCCTGGCTGCTGTGAATAATTTTGCTGTGAACAGGGGCATGTGGGTCTTCTATGTGTTTCTGTCAAACCTAGTCGCTATGATTGCTATTATTATTTTGAGATGGCGTCTCTCTCCGTCACCCAGGCTGGAGTGCAGTGATGCGATCTCAGCTCAGTGCAACCTCCACCTGCCCGGCTCAAGCGATTCTCCTGCCTCAGCCTCCCAAGTAGCTGGGATTACAGGCGCATGCCACCACACATGGCTAGTTTTTGTATTTTTGGTAGAGACGGGGTTTCACCATGTTGGTCAGGCTGGTCTTGAATGCCTGACCTCAGGTGATCTGCCCGCCTCAGCCTCCCAAAGTTCTGGGACCACATCTGGCCCCTAATCATTCATTATTCTTGATGA